TGCTCCCTCAGATTCCAGATTTTCAAATAGTTGTATCTCAGCCAAATATTGTCCTATCCTAACAAACCATACATCAGTGGACAAATCTCAATTTCAAAAAATTAACCCTTATGACTGGTTTTGTGGTCCAGGGTCACATATGTGTGTATGTGTATAAACACGTCACCTTACCATTGTCAACACGTTTTTATTTTAATTTCATATGTTTTAAAAATTCATATGCTTAAAAAAAATGATGGCAATTTTTTTCTGGAGTTGGGTTGTATAAATTGTAAAAAAAATTATTTATTTATTTATTTTAAATCTGTTTTGTTAGAGAAAATGATCATACTTTGCATTACGGTGCCAGTGTTCTTTGTGCGCTTCTCTAAAAAAATGCATAAACATTGATGAAAAATGTGACCAACACATAACTGAAGGGGAAGATAATTACACAAATGTGTGTCGTTATGCTGCATAATTTTAGCTGGCCTGTTGTTAGCTTCAGACGTTATAAAAAAAAAAAAAGATTCAGTATTAACTTATAAAACAACGAGATAAACTATTTCTGTCAAACATGTCAGTCGGGATCAAATTATCTTTAAAACATTTACCTTGAAGGTCGGTGGTACCGTGGCCATTCTGGTGCAGGTAGGACTGTTCAAGAGAGTGTGTGAGTAAACTGGGCTGCAGTGGATTGGCTCCAGGGTTGCACGGAGAGAGCGGCTGCTGTTTGATGTAAGATGCCCCGTTGTTTAGAGAGGCCGGGGACGCTGGAGGCCAGACCGAGGCTGTGCTAGAATACACGGCATGCGGCTCCATCACTCCCCCGCTGGCAAGAAGCGGCGATGCAGAGTTGTCGTGGTGGGGGTATTCACTCCCCGAGGATCCCGTGCAACTGCCCATGTAGGAATGTCCACTATTCGTTGATAGATGGGACATGGAGTGTCCTGCCAAGCCCATTCCTTCCATATTGCTGGCCAAATGTCCATTCATCGTCCCAATCCCACTCTCCAAAGGGAAACTGTTTGGAGGACAAGGCAGGCCCCCGCCGCCCCCTTGAAAGTTATAGGACTCGGGTATGTGATTGAATCCCAGCCCGTTCATCATGCTGTACATGGAAGGTTTGAGCGCCTGACATTTGCGCCTGAATCCCCGCGGCCTCCTGCGGAAAGATCCCTCCTCGAACATGAACTCGCTGGCCGGGTCGATGGTCCAATAGTGACCCTTCCCGGGTCTGCCCAGACCCTTGGGCAGCTTAATAAAGCACTCGTTCAGAGACAGATTGTGACGCACCGAGTTTTTCCAGCCTTGATATGAGCCTCTGAAAAACGGGAAGCGGCTCTGGAGGAACTGGTAAATTTCGCTCAGAGTCAGTCGTTTGGTTGGAGAGCTGTGGATGGCCATGACAATGAGAGCGATGTAAGAGTACGGGGGCTTTTCAGGACGACGGATTCCAGCGGTCGTCTTTTTTGTTTTGGTGCTGGAGGAGGAAGAGGAGGTCTCCATCACAGGCGTCTGTCCGTGCGGTTTCTCCGACATGGGGCTACTGTGTGCAGGGGTCTGCACGCAGGGCTGCTGGACTTCAGCAGTCATTCTTTACGCACACGCGCAAGTCAAAATCCACGAACAAAAAAAAAATCCGATTTTACGCTACTTATATTAATAACCAATTGTACTGCAGAAATGACCCCTCTTTCTCTGCGCACTACTCCTGTGATAGTACTACGCACCATAAAACTGAATAGCTACTTCAGGGAAAAGAGATTCTTTCGGCTTCAGATCCTGTCCTCTTGTTCTTCCTTTAGGAGTTGAGCTTTTACTTATCTGTTTCCATCAGCTCCTCTCAGGCTCTTGAGCATGAGCACGTCAGAGTCACTCAGTGGCCGCCCAGTGTCCCTCCCAGTGTCCCTCCCACTGCCAGCTCTGCTGAGGTGGGCTTCACTGACATCTACACAACTATATCACTATTAAGTAACGCGCGTTTATAGTCTTATTTATTGTAAATAAAATAGCATATTCAGTGCACGTTAGCATAGAGACTTTTGTTTCTTCCGCACAATACAAAATTATTTTAAACCAACAATAAATTCAACTTTTAGTATCGTAACATTACAGGATGATCACCGCGTTTTTGGGGCTTTTTAATAATATCAACGGGATAAAAATGATTAATTCATTAATGTATTTTGTACATTAAATACTTTGAACTTTAAATCATTCTCACACTAATAAATAAAAAGCTGGTTTTAGGGAAGTTCAGATGCTGCAAAATCGCGTTATGCAGTAAGTTATTTTTTTTTTAAAGAAATAACACCACTTTAAAAAGACCATAATCGGTAGAATATTGTTTCTTTTTCCAGATAGACAGGAACACAGACAAGATGTTTACTACAGAATGTAAACACTCTCTCTGAGCTTTTCAAATCAAAAATCAAGCCAAAAGCCTCGGTAGTGCAGCTAATTCACATAGAAAGCCGCATCCGCATTCTGAGTTTTACATATACATTTAAAGAATCCTGGGCTGTGGAAGAATGGAAGTTTTCGGTAACATCGCGTTGATGGAAAGTCGTCTGAAGACTGCAAAATTCCGCTGTATCGCTTCATGAAGGCAAGTTATGTGAACTTGAGCACGAACCTTCCCAGTTGACATACTGCACCTCCTAAGGTTTTTGCTTTGCGACTGACACTGATTTGCCTAATTGTGAACGTTATGGGCAAAATATTAAAATAAATGCGTCATGGGGCATGCAAATGTATATCAGTATGCTGCAGAAATTTTCTTTATTTTTTTTCTTTCTTTCTTTCTTTCTTTCTTTCTTGTCTAATTTAGTTACTGGGTATATGTTTAGTAAATGTTTTTATCTCTGTGCAGCACTCATGCTTTGAGAGTGCAGACTTTATTTATTTATTTAATTAAGATACGACATACATTAATAACGAATTCACCTTGAGTCACATTTATGTTGAGACGTGTGCAGGCTATATAGAAGTTTCAAATGTTACTAATGGAAAAAAAAACGTTTTTACTTCCTTTACTAAGAAATGTCAACATTCAGGAGTATATCTCTGTTATCAGTACCCTTAAGAGTTTGGATGCATATTGATAGAGGTATTGTTTTTAAGGCTTGAAAAGGGCCCCGTATTTTTATCTGCGCTATGGACCACCCAGAATGCGCTCGCCCTCTGCCTTTAATTAAGGTTGATGAGTTCATTTGTTAAGGCCTTTAGTTTTAACATTCCTTTACTACTGTGCCCTGTTCACTCTCACGTTAACTATTCAAATATTAATATCAATAGATAATGCATCCTCAAATGTATACGTAATACGACTCTAGTTGTTTCATGGATTTGCGACCTAAAGCATGGTATAATTCTTCACCTTTGGATGTGCAAACAAATAACATTTGGTTTTCTGCTCGCTCACTTCAAACAACCGAGTTGATCAAAATATATTGCTGAAAACCTGATTTTAGAAAAAAAATAAAAATAAAAAAAAAATAATAATAATAACAACCGTAATTGACTAAGATAGAGGAAATCTATCGACTGAGACGAATCAGTCTATGTTCACATTTTCCATGGCGTCTTCCAATAAAATATATAGGCCTATTTGACAAATTGCGCTCCCGGCCATTTAGAAAGAGGAAAGCCACATTATTCGCCTATGACATAAGTCAGTTTAGCTAAATTAATTATTAGAACACCGGCGTCACTAGCTGTTTGTGTATTGTTAGTTAGTTTAGATAATAGCCTAGTTTTACTTTATTGTAACTCGATCCATTAATGAAAAAAATAAAATAAAATTGGCCCAATTGGGATATACATTATGAATTATGTCTACAAAAAGTTAATGGATCCAACCGCCGTTACACATTTGTAATGAAGCATTGAAATGTGGTTTTATTTATTCAGCCTATATTAATGAGGAAACGACTTAAATTCACATAGCAGGGGGGCTAAATGGCGAAAACATTAATCTATTCTAGTAGAATGGCACATACTTAGATTGTTATAGATCAGTACATACACAAACATCTCTTGAGCGGACTGCCAGTATATGACGGCATTTTTTTGGTTGGGAACAGAGAGCTAATTCTGAATTCGTGGTGAACTCTGAAGGTTCACTTAAAGGCTGGACGTGACTTGTTTAAAAGGAAGCATGACAGACGGATCAGTCAAGGGTTTGCTGTTTGTAGGTCCACAAGTTCACTTTCGCGTGACGCCTCCATAATTGCACTTATCCCGCTATAGTTATTGAAAGTAATATTGTAGTAATCATTGTAGCTGTATATTGTAGAGGCATTGTAGTGCATTTCTTTCTGATGTTTAAAAGAAAGAAAAAAAAAAAAAAGAGAAAAGAAATAGGTTTTTGGAGATTTCTGACAAGATACTTATCTTACAGTTTTTTTCACAGTATACTGTATATGAATTTACGAGAATGCAATGTTTAGCCGTGAAATAACTACATAGGCCTATCATCTATCTATCATCTATCTATCTATCTATCTATCTATCTATCTATCTATCTATCTATCTATCTATCGTTGTTGTTGTTGTTGTTGTTGTTATTATTATTATTATTATTTTCTCCATTATATTCACTTTTGCTTACATGCACTATAAATGAGTCTAGCAGTTTGTTTCATGCATGGCTTCGGTCATACAGCATAGTTTCATACAGCATCTAGATTTGGAGAGGGTGCTCAGTCCCCATTACTTTCACTCTCTTCGTAGGTGGGCGCGTATATTTTTGTTGAAGTGCTGTTTATGTGAATAGGAACACACACAACTTCGATTGCGTTCATTGATTTGAGGCACAGATTTGCGGCTTTAATCAACACAGTCACTGCGGATGGCTTTTTAATTTACTTGGCGAGAACTTGCCAGTGGCCTTCTAGACGAGAAGAAGAGAAGCTAATTGGCGCATTAGAGGCAAACATAGCATTCTAGAGGTTTGAAGCCTGTTTATGTCTGTTTTATTTGGTTTGCTGTAATAATTGAAAAGTAATGGAACTAATTTGATATGTAAAAAAAGTTACTAAGGCAAATAACTGAAGAAGGATAAACTGTTGGCTGCTGTGACATCTCATGGTCCTCTTGTATTAGGCCTAATTATAACATATGGGACGTAGAGTCTGACATTCTTTTTTAACTGTGCGTAACGGGGCTTTGATCAGTGAAATGCTTAAAAGATGAAAAGAGGAGAAGAGCAATATTACTCTGTGTCTAAACGTTAATTGTTTGTGGCGAATATAACATTTTTATATTATAATTGTTAAAATAAATATGCATTTTAAATTTGCAGTTTAAAATTTGTACATGCTTACTAACATCAGTAAATAACAACAATAATAATAATAATAATAATAATAATTTGCTATTTAGTCTAAATAGGCTAAATGCTATCATCAATGATCAAAGAGTCAATAAATCCGTTTCCCATGTAGGGAACTTTAATTTCGGATGTTCTAAGCTTGCTTTCCGAGAGTGAACGATACATTATAGTGCCATCCCATTACAGTGGTGGAAAGAGTACTTAAAAAATATACTCGTAAAAGTACCATTACCTTCCAAAAAATGTAGTGTGAGTAGAGTAAAAGTACTTGTCCAAAAAACTACTTGAGTAAGGGTAAAAGAGTAGCCTATTTAAAAGTACTCATGAGTATTGAGTAGTGAGTACTGAGCTGTGGATCGACCCCCTCATAATAAACGCTGTACACCGCAACTTATACATTTTAAAAACGTTGTACATTCTGTAATTCACATTATATTGTTTGTCATAAAGAATGAAGAATATCTATCATCCAGCAGTTTTAATTTTGACTGCCAGCTCTTTAAAATGCATCAAAACAGCACGGAAACAGTATTCAGTTGAAGAAAAGATGAAAGTTATTCTCAGTACAATCATCCCCATTTAAATCATAAAGTTTGAAAAACTTGAACAGCATGCTGTTGTTGCACATAAAATATTAATGTTTAGAACAGTGCAAATAAAAACACCATTAGAAACTCATAGTTCAGCATCACACACCATGATATGGGTTAAAATGAGAACCCATTTCTCTCCAAAACGGTGCCAGTTTGAGCGTTTTGCATAAAGAAATAAGAATAACTAAACGTGATCATTTATGTTACAATTTTAACATAAATGCACATTGTTCGGTAACGCTTTAGATTACAACCCGCAAAGAACTATGTATGTATACTGAATTTACGGTGTACGTTTCTGTAATTCTAGTGTAGGCCTATCTATAAAGAACATACGTGTAGGTATAAGGGAACAATGTGTTACGTTTGGGTAATAAGGGGGTAACAACTAGTGT